TCCCCCCCCCCTGCCTCGGAGCTCGCTCGGTTGCAGTCGAGGAGAAGGTTGTGAAACGAGCTTCCCTCGGGTCTCCTCAGAGCCTCCCTCGGGGCCCAGGACAGGCCGGTCTGTGAACGCTCTGCTCGCCTTTGAAACACAGGCCTGAGTCAGCCCCAGTCAGCCACGTCCTCGCAGAGGAGAAGCTGTGGTTTGTGCCCGATTCTTGCACCGTTTACACGACGTGCTTTGGAGAACCCATTCCCGTGGTTATGCAAGTGGGATACAAAACACTGTGAATCTGTCAGCGCTGTGCTGGAATCTAGTTAATTGGTGTGTTTTGCTTACCGTAATGATAGGGTGATAGTGCGATGCAGTGTGGAGTACACAGTGAAATGCAATGTTGCCTGGCACTGTTAGGAGTTATGCAGCAGTTATAAAATTGGATTCTGGCTACAGTTGTAATTGTGTTGGAGGTTAGGCTTTGGTGCTGAAATAAATTAGAGAAGGTAATGCTTGACTTGGGCTGCAGACCTTTTTAGGCTTGCAGGTGGTGCTGTGGAATGTAAATGTGCCCTTTCTTAGCATAAAAACGTTGTTCCAGATACGCGTTTTCTACTTCAAGGGGCCATTATAGGCACCTAATTCTATATTGGTCACCAGAATAGTCTGCAGCAGACGTTTCGGAAAGTGCTTATTGCTTTTTCATATGCTCAGGACAGCTGAATATGCTGCACCAATTGGCTACAAGATCCCAATGCTGCCACTTATCTTGAAAATCTAAATTGATGCCTGCAGCACCGATGTCAATTTGTATGTATAAAGGCTTAATACAGAAAAGGGAAATGTACTGGCAGACAGCAGGAGGAATGTATGAGAAAAGAACTAGAACCATAAAGGATACTTTACCAGTCTGATGTCTGTTTTATTCACATAGAGTAAGATTGGCTGATTTTATGGTGGGGGGAAAAACTGTTTCTGCTACCCATTTAATAGTTATTTCTTCTATCATTACTAAAACATTAGCAGGGTCATTTGAAATGTGACTGCAAGATACGTTAAGTTGAAGATTCCCTGCAGTGTGATGGTGCTTACTCTTGACAGTCTGTCTGTCCTTATATCCTCTCTCCTGCAGCAGCCATTACCTACTGAATAAAGAGAGCCTTTCCTTAGTTTTCCTAGTTTGTGCAGAGGAGGCATTATCTGCCTTGTGCTGAACCTGTGCCAGTGTCCCAAGGACAAATGAGCCATGTCATTTTATCCTGACATGTTTCTGTCGATACTATTCTTGTTCATGTACCCGTTTTAATCATTTATGTTTGATGTCATGGAGCAGCAATGCAGCGTTCTGGTCGAGTTGGCCCCCATTGGAAAATAGAAAACCAAGATGACGTGCCATCCACATTGCTAAATAGATGGCTCTGCAAGGCAGATGCATCTGTCCGAGGCACCTAGCAGAGGTTTAGGTATTAGCAAAATCTTTCCAACTTACTCGACCAAAATAGAAATCCATTTACCCTTCACAAGCTGTTCAGTGTCTTTCATGCTGCTTTTCCCTAATCAATTATAAACTTTTTAGCCTGCACCGGGATTTTCTAACTTCCATCCTAGTACGTTATCCTAATTGATGCTTTAGATGCAAAGCTGGCCTCTGAGCAAGAAGTCTCGCAGATTTCACAGCAGTGGCCAATAAACGTGAGAAGAAAACTGTCCAGCAATATTCTCATTAACTGTATTCACAGTTGATCTGTCAAATCTTTTCGAGCAGAGTTTAAGGTTAGTTCTGGAAATCGTGTGCCTCGTTATCCTTGTAGGCCAAGCTGGTGAGAAGTGGAAGGGAAAGAAAATGATCTGCATTCTGGAGCAACATAATAGGGGTCACCAGCACCCTACATTGCACTGAGAAGTCACCTAAGCTGCTCGTTGACTTTCCTTCTCACAAGCCTTGAAACAAGGTGGTTTTTGCTATGGAGATTTAAAATAGGGCTTGTGTGATACTTTTATCCCTTTCCAGATTGCTGACCCTGAGACCTGTGACCGAATGTACGAGAGCTTAGTCAGAATCCACACCAACTACTACAAAAACAAGGTGAGCTTTGACATTAGCCATCATCCCTCTGTTAGGGGGTGGGTCACCACCTACTGCGGTTGGCTGCCTCGTCCCAGCAGGGTTTCTGGGAATGTCTAACAGAGAAGTGAGCAGTCAGGTGGATGCAGCACTACCTGGTGCCTTTGGTCACTCCGGGAAAGCTGCAGACATCTTGGCCTCTGTGACATGTATGAGCAATGCAGATGGTAGTTCTTGGTATGTATGAACAGATTTCTTAGAGCTTGACTGAATATGAGCTCAGACTCTACCGTATGGTGACATTTCTACCTGTTTTAATGCACTACAAGTAACACCTTTCTCTCTCTCTCCTCTCACCTACTTGCTCATTTGTGAAGTATCCACGTCTGAAAGACACAAGCTTCACTGGAGTGACAGTAGAAGACTGCAAGATGATACTAGCAACAGGTACTAATACTGTGCTTGATTTGAGAATAAGTCAGTGCAGGAGATAAAGAATAAGTCAGTGCAATCTAGTCTTTGTGTCACTGCATCATTTCTACTAAACACCTGTGACTAAAGGACCGCTGTGCAAGTATATTAGGATGTTTAATGAGGAGCAAGTTCAGGAATAATTGAGGAGATCTTCAGTAATCTATCAGGTCAAGAATTTGATTGTATTTTGCACTGGGCAGGAACAGCAAAGGGTTTGCAAGGGCTCTTTGAGATCAGGTAGCAGGAGCTATGTGAAAGAAATGCACGTTTGCTACATCATTCCAAAAATTCTCAGCTTCTGTTTCACCATGTTCAAATTCCCTTCAGTATTTCTCCTTTTGTATTAGACTTCGAGAGAAAACAGGGTACTGCGATGCAGAAATACTCTCAGCTAGATCATTTATTAAGTGCAATGTAGGAAGCTAGTGGAGTTTTGTTCTGCTCCAGTTCCTAACTTTGATTGCAGTGTGTGGAAACTGAATATTAGTTGTTAGTGATAAGGGACTCCCCGCACAATTGATTGGAAGGGAAAACAAACTTGCCTCAGGCTCTGAAATAGAAATTCATTAAGATGAAAAGTCAAAAAAAGGAAAATATATGTAAGGCAAAGCTTTTATAAGAGCTTTTCATTCGTTTGCTTTTCTGCTTTTCTTTCTCTTTCCCCATCTCTCTCTTCTCCTTTTGCAGACATTCTGAAACAGATGGAAGACATGAAAAAAGGGACATGGAAAAAACTGCGAGAAAAGTTTTATGCCAAGAAACCTGAAGAGGACTCGAAGCGATAGGCTAACTCCCAGATTCTCCACTGTATATATTCCTAAAGCACTGTATGTTGCCATGATGAATAAAACCATTTATTCCTCTTAGCAACAGCATTTTGTTCAGACCTTACACCCTTTGTATTTAGTGCCCCCTCTTTCTTTTCCTGAAAATCTGGGATATAGCTTAACACATCTGTGCTGAAACCCTATTGGAGCAATGTAATGTAGAGGAAAGAACTTTGTGGTGGTAGACCTGATCCTTTGTATTACAAGAAACGGAACAACCCGGAGATGTACAGAGCAAGTAGGTAGAACCACGTTAGCTTTAAATTTGCTTGTGAAGATAACAATAGGGATGATGTGAAAACATAGCTATGCTTGTGTTTCTGGGTGTGAGCACTGGTAACAGTGAAATTGAGGGAGGGATAACTTCAATAATTACATTTATTTTTCTTTTGAGAAGACACAGGAGAGGACTGAGGGTGACTTTACTGTGGTGACAGTGGAGCAGTGTAAGAGTTTAACTGAGTTTTCAATCAAATGCTGCTGAGGTGTGTTACCGGTTGAGCTAGCTGTATGCAGATTTCCCTCAGTGTGAAGAGAAAGTTCTGTATGGGTTGCTGCATATCTGAGGGATAAAGATAGGTTTTAATGGTGGTATATAAGGCCATAAACAAATTTCAGGTCTGGTTCTTTCATTGCTATGGCCTATTTTTATTCCTTTTTAAAGCTTTCATGCTTGCATCAGTGTCTATTCTTGGGAGGCAGAGGCACAGGACTGTAGCTGGGGTGGCTACAGCACTGCTTGGCTTTGGAAGGATGAGTGTCTAGAACACAGCTATGCCAGGACTCTGCTTGGCTCCAGGCAGCACCAACAGCTGCTCCTTTTTATGTATTTGAACAGTGCTTTCCTGGCAAGTAGTGAAAGAATTTGAAACTTTGCAGCAGGCTCTAATCCAAAAATTCACAAAACAAGGCTGGTGTTCAAGGTAGTTCGTCATGGTAGCATTCTCCTTCATTTCTGACTGGAGCACTGTACTACATTTTAAAGTTTAACATCTGGAGCTGAGAGCATTGGGTTGTAGAGCACCTTGGATAATACAGCCCTGGATTGTTCTGTATTTCTATTTATAACAGCCCTATTACATATCGGAGTGCACAGGAAGGGCGCTTTCTTTACTATGTTTAAGTTTTTATTATAACATGATTTTGTATTTAATTTAGTTAAGGCAATTTACACTTTAGTTCTTAAGTAACAATAACAAAACAAAACAAAAAAAGTAAAACATTACACCAGAGATTAAACTAAAACACAGGACACCCCTTCACAGTGAACTCCTGTAAACCTGCAGTCTCCTACTACTACTGCCCAGATATTCTTGGTCCACAGAAGGCAAAAGACTAGTTTGCACTAGTACAAGCTTGGATACTCATCCTCATCTGGTGAGTTAAATTAACAAATCCATCTCCTTGAGTTTAGGTCCTCTTTACTGCACCACAGTGATGAACAGAATTCTTTAAATGGAGAGGGATCAGCATGGAGCAGGCACAGCAAATACGATGGCTGGTTTGCAAAGATCCACATGTACTAGTGCCACTCTTGGAATAAGTTAAATATTGCAGCCCTACAGCTAGTTACACTACATCTGAGGTGGAGGCCATCAGAATGTAGCGCATGGAGATAAAGATACGACCCTCCACATTTGCAAAATAAAGAGTTATTGCAATGAGGAATAAAAGTCCTGTATAATTTATCTTCCTACAAGGGCATTAGAAAACGTGTGGATCCAGGTATCGTGAGGAATCCTGGCCAGTCCCTGGTTCCTGAATTGCTTACAAGTACTCTAAGAAAAATGGTGACTGTGAAGCCCTTCCACATGGTCCGTCTTTCTCTGACAGTCACGTCCATGCATGGAACCCAGGAATAAGCAGCCTCGTTAGCTGATACATGTGTGTAGTCCTTCAGTGGGTGAAGTCGATGCGTCTTCTCCGGTCTAGTGGTTCATGGTATTCTGGACATCCACAAACCCCATCCTTTGTCTGCGCTTCCGTTGCTCTGTCATCTAGAGTTCAAACAAGGACACAAGTGAGGTAGGAAACCAGGCTTTCTATTCACTAACGTGCTCCTCCAGTGTGTGACTGACCAGGCTGCTTTAAGCATCTGCCAGAAAACCCTGTGAGTTGGACTCCAGCTGATGAGGAAGTAAAGTATCAAAAAGCAGTTGTCCCAAGTGTCCCTAACCCCCCCAAAAAGAGGTGTGGGAGCCCTTTGCTTTGTATCTGAAGTTGTACTGGTTCTGCCTCCTGTTCCTTGCAATCGGTGTCTATTTTGGTAAGGACAGCGGGTTTCTACAGTCACGTGTTCCTCAAGTGTTCCTATTTTTAAAAGTGTTCAGTACCTGTTCCTTCAGCTCATTCAGCTGGGAGGTGAGATGGGACACCAGCTTCATCGTGGTGTTGAGTTTGTCTTGAAGATTTCGGATCTCATTCTGTTCCCCTTCCCCTTCATTGCTGACCAGCGACATGGCTCGCATCCGGGGGAACCAGTCAAGGTTCTTATTCTGGAAAGGCGACCATGGAGAATGGGAGTTGGAGACGGGGTGAGGAGGAGGGAAGAGACCCAGTAGGACTTAACAGGAAGCCTGCCTGTGCTTAGGGATTAAAGACATTCTCAAAGGCTCGTCTTGTCTGTATCTTTGCAAATTTTCCACGAATAGTCCATTTCCAGCTTTTTTGTTATAGGCTTCTGGGCTCAAGTTCAGAAGTTTTTCTTTTCTAAATTTCCTTTCCCTCCCTTCTTGCCTGGAAATCACCTTGAAGTCACACTCTCTACTGCTTGGTTCTGTCCTTGGTTCAATCCTTAAATACACAGTACAAAACGTCAAATAGACAATGTGGTGTTGGCTGAGATTGCAAAGTGGAAATAACCAGCTAAGAACAAACTAAGGCACAACAACATTATTAAATATTTTCCAAAAGCTCCTTCTCAAAACTGTTTTTCTTTGGCAAGCCCACTGTTCTCAAATATTTCCCCTGGGTAGGCAGGTTGCAATAGCAAAAGAGCTGCCCTGAGAGGACACGTACCTTTATCATCTGCGCCACATAACTCTCTGGCCCTGTGTAGTCCGTCTTGTTCTTCACTCGCACCAGGACTATGAAGTACAAGTAGTTCCACATGTTGTGCTCATATTTAATATGCTCCTCAAAGGACACTGTCTTGTTGTCAAACTTGTCCCTTTCGAGTCCTGGGAAAGGCAATCAAGAACGGAGAAGGTGGAGGGAGGAGATGGGGAGGGGGAGGAGAGGGTAAGAAGTGAGCAAGCAAACAAATGTGAAAGGAAGTACAGATAATTGCATCCTCTCCCAGGTGTGACTTTCAAGAAGTGCTTTTAATAATTAGTTGGCATTTAGCACACAAGCAGCATCCAAAACGGGGAAAATAACCCAGTTGTGTATTCAGGAGGTTTCTATTTAAAGTACTACTAGCTATGCTTCCTGCCTATGTATCTAAAAGCATAAAATGCACCCAGTGGATCTTTTAAGAAAAAAAAAACAGCCAGACTTATTGGGTTTTTCCCTTTTTTTGGATGTCTTCCTATGACTGAAAGCATTCCAGAACATTTTCTGTATTTTATTTCCTTAGAAATATGGTGCTTTTTTTTCCACTGGCTAAGTGATGGTCTCAGGAGTGATAGATGCACAGTGACAAGAACTCCACAATGTGGCATTTTAGTTTAACACCTCATTAACAGAAGGCGAGGAACAATACAGACAATTTCCCCTCTCAGTTTGTGTCCTTGTTTAAGCCTCCTCACACTGCAGTGACCTGTCGGTGAACAGATTCAAGTTTTGCTGTGAACCAAATGAAAACAGAAACCAGCTGAAACTCCTTTCCTTCCCTTCCCTCAACCTTAGAAGAGAGGAAGAGCTTTGGGGCAATTCCTATACACCGAGGTCCGAGCGCTCACCACATATGAAGCAGGTGGTCTTCAGTATCTCTTCCTTCTTTTGCTTCTCGCTCCTCAGGTCGGCAAAAGTGTCAATAATGACCCCAAAGATGAGGTTAAGGACGATGATGATGACAATAAAGAAGAAGAGGAGGTCGTAGACAACTCGAGCAGGAAACAAGGACTCCTGTAATGGACAAAAGGGATAAATGTGTCTCTTACGCATCCCTTCTCTAGCCACTCCAACCGTGCTGCCTTGTTCCACGGGCTGAGGGTACCAGGTGAGGAGGAATAACAGGGATGTGACAGGGGAAGAGAGGAGGAAAGCCCTGGAGGACGGGGGCGGGGGGCAGAGCTGGAAGTGTCACAGTTTCCAGGGGGGGAGGCCAGCTGCACAGCAGTATATGCAGCAGGACTTAGCAGAAAAAAGGGGTCCCGCGTGCTGCCCAAACTCACATCCTTCGATGGCTTCCGCAGAATGTCACCCACGCCCCCTCCGTTCCTCAGGCCGTGGTTCAGGACAGTGACGATGCACATGAGCAGCGTGTCGCAGGCGCGTTCCCACTGGTCAGCATCTGTTTCTAAAGTACCAGAGGGGGAAATAAAAGCAAAAAGCCAGGGCAGAAGTACCAGACCATTGCAAAGAATCCAGAGCTGCGGGGATGACTCTTGCTGCACTGGTGCAGCGGCAAATCTCCTGGGAGCAGATGCTTATTGTGGAGCTCCCAACCAGCAACTTCCCAGCAGCTCCTCCAGCTTGCTTCTTGCTGCGGAGGTGTTTGGCTGAGCGCTCCTGAAGCTCCCACTTTCTTTATGACTAAACTGAATCTACTTCAACATTTTTTATGCCAGGGTCAGTGCAAAATTTGCAGGCCTCTTGCCTAATATGTGCCAGAAAGTGGGTGGTTTGTTTCCATCTTTGAAAAGCTCGGATTTTTCTGAGCTCGTTGACAAACCAGGCAGCCAACCTACTCTGCCACTTACAGAGTTGACCTTTCTAATGAGCTCACTTACCTTCCAAGGCAGTGGGCACAGCAGAGCAGCTAATTTTGTCACCGCTGCATGACTCCATGAAGGTCTCCATGTTCCTTTGCATCCCCAAGGGGTCATCTGCAAGTAAAAGAGACCACAGCCTTGTCAGAGCATCAGCTTGCCTTAGT